GGGGGGGGGAAAACATTTTGAAAGAGAAGAAAAAGGAGATAATTAAATCAATTAAATTTCAATATAATGTCATGTTATCGATATGCAAATAATTATATATCTGTAGATTTACTCTCTAGAAATGTATAGATAAAAAATAATTTGACCAATTATAAATAGTTTTTAATCATTACATAGTCATGAGCGAACTATTTATCTTTTTTATTTTAGAATAATGTTATCTAGTACTATTGATATTATAATATTAGTTTAGGTGTTATTAAATGAAAAATACAATTAAATGAATCACACAATTTAACATTTGATTAAATCTATTACATAATATCATGTAAACTGGTGTTAGATGACATTATTCTTCATTTTAACTAAAATAATATGTTATCTTTTCTATGAAAATATATTATTGTTTTTTAAAGATCAAATGGACGAAATTTGTCACTAAGGATGAAAACTACACCAAAACCAAAAAGGTTAAGAAATTGTGTGGTCACAATACATTCATTAGATGAAGTTGCGACAAAGTCAATAGGTCAAGGACCAATGCTCTGAAGTTTCTTAGAAAACTGCTGACGATAGATGTAGATAAATTAAGAGAAATACAATTTTAGTTGCTAAGACGTGTATTCATAAACATAAAAGGTTTGTGCTTATAAAAATACAATGACAACAACGACGATAACTTTAATAGCGCGTTAAAAGAGATGGGCAACAGATTTAACTGATTTGGATGTTCTTGCAAATTTACCATTGAACACGTCTGATTACCAAAAATGACATGTTGCTTAGTTATCCATATATATTCTTGTTTATTATTATTATTATTATTATTATTATTTTCATTTTAATATGAACCTTAACATTTTATTTCAATATATTAACCAAACAAATATTCATAGAAACCACTGTGTATCTAGGAAAATAATAACTCATATGAAAATGCTTTTGGTGTAGCAGTTATTGAATTAGGTTAAAGTGGAAATTGCTGACAATTTTGATGGCGCCTGCATAGGCTTTTAATCCGGCAATCATTTCACTATTTGATGGTGACTATGATAATAATTGTGTACAGATCCTAAACCAACTGTCATTTGTTGATGCTAGTGTCGATGTACGGAGTGTGTGATTTTTTTTTTCTTTTAAGGTAATGTTAGTGTTTTGAATGTAAAGGATTGATCAGAGAGAGAGAGAGAATTTAGAGATAAATTTTATTCCTATTCAATTTTCTCCTAATTTTGTCATTTTTTTTTTTATAATTACACTATTTGTTATAGTATTGATTTTCCATTGTGATGGGCTAATGAAAAAAGTCAATTTGATTTTACAATGATGAATCACTTGCATTAAGGTTGGTGATGTGTATCCTGTGATTCTCTAGCCATTTCAAATCTGTAATGAATTTTGAAAAAAAAAAAAAAAAAAGCTAGTGTAGATGAAGTTAAAGTCATAAGCCAATAAACAAATATAATTGAAATTGAAAATAAAATAAATCTTTAAAGAATTTAATTGCATTTGCACCTTATATTTAAACACTGCATTATAAACACAACGATTTATTCACCCAATGATCAATGCAATGCAATGCAATGCAAGCAGGGATAGAGCCAGAAAATGATATTAAAATGGGCTGAAATTTAAAAAACTTTGAATGAACTTACGCTACAAGAAATCGAGTTTCGGAGGCTATTTTTGTGATATTCACGATAAAAAGTATATGACACTCAATGAAATAAAAAATGTTTAGATGTCTCACATTAAAATATTCCACTAAATTTTTGTATTTTTTTTACCAAATAAAAAATCAATGCATACCTTAAAAAATACAAACTAACCGAATCACAATAGAATTAAACAAAAATACATATCCACCAATGAACATTAAAAAATTACATAATGGGTACTCTTCTAGTAACTTTGACAACCCGTCTTTCCAAACAACTGAAAGTTTTAACAAATATTCTTTTTATTGCCAATATCAATTATATAGTAAGTCATTTATTTTGATCAAAATATCTACTTTATGGTCAAAATAAGTATTTTTTTTATAAATATTAATTAGTAATGAATGAAAACATATATAATTTAGAAAAGTACATAGTGTCTCTAACTATTAGAATAAAGAATTTACTTTTAGATCTAAGCAATACAAATTATTCGTAATAAAATTTACTTAAAAATTATGAGTAAATTTTAGTCAAACATGCATTAAATGGAATATATAATCTGACAATAAAATATTCACATTTCATGAATGTCTTGAAAATAGTAATTAATAACTGTAGTGCTTTTAATACAATTTGAATAATTGAACATTCGACTTGGGTTGAGATTTAAATTAGAGCTCGACTAATGCTAACATCTGGACCACAATTCTAAAATCTTTGCTTAGAAAATATGGGTTGGAGAGCATTATCGGGTTGACATCTGGGCCACAATTCTAAAATCTTTGCTTAGAAAAAAATAATAGGGGTACTTACAAAACTACCCTATGTTTTTGGGTTGTTTTGAAAAAACATTATAAACTTGGATTAAATGGTAATTACTTAAAATTGAACGTAAAATATACGCTCAAAACCTAAATTCACGACAATCCTCATAAATCAACCTCCAATGTGCAAAAATCAAAGGAAAATTGAAAGGAAAAAGAGGAAATCTTCCACAAATACATAAACGAAGTTTGTTCATTCTTCAAATCGAGGAAACCATCCACAAAAACATTGAAAAATCTGGAAAAAAAGTCGAGCAGATCATCCACAAAAACACAAACAAAATACAGGTATTTCTATGTTTTGGATTTCATGATTATAGCTCATTATCTATCTCATTTTTTGTTTGAATTAACATTTATGAAAATAAAATTGTTGAAGTTGAGTGGATTATGTGTGAAAAATTAGTTTTGAATCACTTACATTGATGTTTGCAAGGTGTTTGACAAAAAGATAATGTGAAAAAGTGGCATTCTATCACTTTTTTCAAAAAAAAAAAAGTCACAGCATTTCTTTTAAGCAATTAGCTAAGTATGCACATGTGAGTTTTTGAAAATTTGAACGTACATATTCAAACCCTATTTTCTGGTAATACACATGAGAAAGAAAACTTTAAATCAATTGCATTGATACTTGCAGTGTGTTTGCTCAAAGAAGGTGAGAAAGTGGCATTCTGTCACTTTTCTTAGAAAAAGTAACATTTTGTGACATTTTTCCAAAACAGTCACCATTTATCATTGGAGCAATTAATCGGATGCATATATTTGCTTTTTTGAAAGTTTGAATATACCAATTCATACCTTTTTTTTTTGTAATACATATGAAAAAGAAAACTTAAAATTGACTACATGGATGCTTGCAAGATATTTGATCATGAAGAGTGACATTGTGTCACTTTTCTTGAAAAAATGACATTCGTTACCTTTCTACAAGAACAGTCACCCTTTATCATTGGAACAATTAACCAGATGCATACGTGTGCGTTTTTGAAAGTTTAAACATACCAATTCATACCCTATTATTTGAGAATACATATGAAAATGAAAACTTTGAATCAATTACATAGACGCGTGCACATGGAGGGGGTGACATTCTGTCATTTTTCTTTAAAAAAAAAAGTGACATTCTGTGACCTTTCTCTAAAATAGTCACACTTTACCATTGGAGCAATTAACCGGATGTATACGTGTGCTTTTCTGAAAGTTTGAACATACCAATTCATACCCTGTTTTCTGGTACTACATATGAGAAAAAAAACTTTGAATCCACTACATAGATGCGTGTAATGTGTTTGCTCATAGAGAGTGTGACATTCTATTACTTTTTCCCAGAAAAGTGACATTGTGTCACTTTTTTCCAAACTAGTCACGCTTTATCATATGAAAAAGAAAACTTCGAATCAATTACATTAATACACGCATGGTGTTTGATGAAGGAGAAAGTGAAAATTTGACATGCTGTCACTTTTTTCAAAAAAAGTTACAGCATCTCTTTTGGCCAAATATGTTATTGCATTCCTGTACATTTTTGAAATTATTAAGATACATATTTAAGCCCCGTTTTCTAGTAATAAACATGAAAAAGAAAACTTTGAATCAAGTACAATGATGCATGCATGGTGTTTGATGAAGGAGAATGTAAAAAATTAACATACTGTCACTTTTTTTAGAAAAAGTCACAGAATCACTTTTTGGCCAAATAACTAGATGCATATTACTCTGTCACTTAAAAAAAACTCACACAATCTCTTTGTAATATTTTTGTAGGTATGGATAAAATCAATGTCTTCATTTGTTATGGAGGCAAGTGGACACAAGATAATGAATACACAAGTGACAAAATGATTGGAATTGTTGTCCTGATGGATTGCACGTACAACCACCTTGAGTGCATAATATGTTCTGTGATGAAAGTAAGTGCATCAACTCAGAGAGTAAAAATACAATATAGAATGAAGAAAAACCTGCCTTTAATGGAGATTTCAGACGATATTTCACTAACATTTTATTTGGAGTTGAAGAGAAAGGATAAAGATCTTGCAAGCTTTCCATTGTGCGTAGATGTGACAACGGTATCAAAAAGTCACGAAACTGAATTTGTTAATAATATACAATGTTTGGAGGCTGTCAGTTATGAAAAAAATGATATGCTACAATTGCAGTTTTGTGAAGCTGTAACTGATAATTCTGTGACATCAGCTCAAAAATTACCTAGTATGGAAGAAATTGCGATTGATGTATACAATAGTATATCGGAAGTTGGAAAAACAACGAATGAAAGAGGAAGTGATATCATTTCAATGGTCACTATGGATGGAATTTCAAAAAATAAACTGTTCAGAAACAAGACATTGATTAAGAGAAGTATTTCGATATATGCGATGCATAATAACTTTCAATTCAAGGTAAGTAAGTCGGACAAGAAAGAATATGTGTTGAAATGTATTGACGATAAGTGTAAATGGACTTTTAAAGCTTCAAGACTTGGTGGAACCGATATGTTCAAGGTAAGGTATATAAAAAATGACCATATATGCTCAAATAACATCATTTTAGGAGATCATCGTCAAGCAACCAGCTCAATAGTAGGAGAATTCATCGTGTACAAGTATATCTCAACAAAAACAATATACATTCCTGCAGACATTATAAATGACATGATGAATACCTATGGAATGTCGATGAGCTATGAGAAAGCTTGGAGATCTAAGGAGAAAGCATTGGAATTAGTGAGAGGAGATCCCACAGAGTCATATGAAAAGCTTCCAAAATACTTGTACATGATAGAACAAACAAATCCTAGATCAGTTACAAAAATTGAGACATATCAGGACAACAAATTTAAGTACCTCTTCATGGCATTAGGAGCATCTATTCAAGGGTGGAAGTATTGTAGACCAGTTATAGTCATAGATGCTACATTCTTAAAAGGCAACTATGGCGGAACACTATTCACTGCATGTACGCAAGATGCCAACAACAGTATCTTTATATTAGCATTTGGAGTTGGTGATTTAGAAACCAATGATTCTTGGGAGTGGTTCTTAAGTATGTAAAAAGAAGCATATGGTGAGCGAGAAGGTTTGTGTATAATATCAGATGGACATGCAAGCATAAAAAATGCAATTCAAAAAGTGTATGAGAATGCAATGCACGGATTATGTTCCTATCACTTACTAAAGAACTTGAAATCTTCTTTTGGTGGGAAAAAAAGGGAAAAGAATATTGCAGAACATTTCAATAGGGCTGTAAGAGCATATTCTAAGACTGATTTTGAGTTCCATATGAAACAACTTGATGAAATCAATACAGGGATTCGATCACATTTGGTATATTCTCATTGTTAACTTCTATAATAATTGATCTCACTTTTTGTTTAAAAAGTGACATTCTGTCACTTCTCGACCAAAGGGTGACAGAACGTCACTTTTGTGTTAATAGTAACATGATATGTCACTTTTTGTTTGAAAAATTTGTATGTGTTAATATTTTTTATTAAAAGTGAGTTTAAACAAAAAGTGACATTCTGTCACTTTTCAACCAAAGAGTGACAGAATGTCACTTTTTGTTAATAGTGACATGATATCACTTTTTATTTAAAAAGTTTGTATGTGTTGATACGTCTTGTTAAAAGTGAGTCTAAAATATGACAGGAAGTCACTTTTTCTGTTAATGTTTTGAATCTTCTTTGTGCAGAAAGATATTGGTTATGAGAAATGGTCGAGGGCTTACATGACTAACAATAGATTTTTTACAATGACTTCAAACATAATTGAATCGGTAAATTCGGTAACAAAAGCAATGAAATGTTGTCCAATAGAGCCTTTATTGAAATCGTTAAGATATTTGTTACAAGAATGGTTTGTGAAGTATATAAATGATGCACGAACAACCTTCGCAATACTTGTCACCAAGCAAGAGAAAATACTGAGAGAAAATTCTATGGAGTCAAAGAAAATGAAGGTAAAAAGTTATAAACTTGCTATTTTGTTATTGCACATCAAGATTTCTATTGTAACATGATTTGTATCCTCTATTCATATTGAATTTTCACTTTAAATCTTCCTTTCATATAAAATAGTGACAAAATTATTGATAGATTATTTTGTTATATTATGTACATAGGTATCAACTTCAAGTTCAATATTATACCAAATTAATGATGGTTGTGCCTCATATTTGGTGAACATGAAAGAAAGAACATGCATATGCAACCAATTCCAAGTAGACAGTATTTCATGTGCACATGCACTTGCAGTTATTACAAAGATAAAGGAGGATTCATATTTGTATTCATATTGTTCGGTATTTTATACAACAAATATGTATATTCAAACATATAGTGCATCAATTTTTCCACTAGGAGATCATAATGAGTGGAATGTGCCAGATGAGGTAAGAACAAGAATAATCCTGGCTCGTAACCCAAAAAGAAAATCTGAACAATGCCACGCATTTTATATAACGTGATTTTATACCGCAAGCGCACGGTGTCAAGTTTTGTAGTATATTAAAGAATTGAAAGGTGTTGAACCCACAGGGATTGATATTCGACTTCCACTGAGTACTATAATTGTGTCCGCGTTTACTTTATCTAGACAATCGAGTGTTAAATTAATGTTTGAATACTAAACTAACGTCAATGAATTAAATAGTGCAATAAAAATGAGGCAATTTCTAAAGACTAAATCAAAATTACGTAATGTCTAGGGAGTGATTTCACCGTATTCTCGACATAATTCTCAATCCCTATAGATATTTCCATCAACTATTTCCCGAATTCATAGGCAAGAATCCTATCAAATAGAACATATCTCTATATTTTAACCCCATTATCTCTATTCCGAATTAAATATATAAACCTTATCACGCACTTGGTTCTTGTTTTACCCTCAAAGATTCGTACTTTCTCTCGAAACCTACAAACCTAGGTTATATTGTTCTTAGATCACACCTAAATTTTCCCCTCTCGACCGTCAAATTTAGAACATAAATTCATTCAATTGGTGATCAGGCAACTGAAAGCATTAAACAAGAACAATACCAATCAATTCTGGAAAATTAAATGGAAATGTTATAAACAAATTAAATCATGTCTCAAATAGGTTACATCAAACCCTAGATTTAATAGTTTAGTTCATGATCGAGAAGAAAAACACAATAAAATACAAACTAGAGTGCATGTATAAGAGAAAGATAGAAAAAACTCAAGTTGCTGCTTGATTTCTCAGTTTTCTCCCTTCTTCTTCTCCAAAATCGGGTCGATCTTCTCTCAATTGGTGCCTCTCCTTTTCTTGCCTCTTCAACCGTCTAACCTCCTTCTCTTGTTCTTCATCTTGGTATTTATATTTTCTAAGAGTCTTCAAAGGTTAGGGTATGATTTTTGGGCCGAAAAGATAATTAAAAATTCGGGTTTTAACGTTTTGGGATTTGGCGCCATGGCGTCGCGATTATTCTGGTAACTGGCGCCGTGGCGCCAAAGTTCCTGCTCGCTTCTGCCTGTGTTGGGCGCCATGGCGCTCAGGTATGGCGCCGTGGCGCCTAAGTTTCTGCTTGAATTCATCGCTTTGGGGGTGCCATGGCGCCCCTTTTTCTACACCGTGGCGCCAATGCCACTGCTTTGCTTCTCTTCACTTTGTTTTCCATGCCTATCTTCCAATCCAATTTTATTCAATACTTACTTATTCATGCTCCATTTCATTGATCATCATTTTTGCTCATCACCGGCTCCCAATCGTGGTATTTTCTCGAGAGCTGTCCAAACTGCAAAACAACACGAACACACACATCAAAACGTTCAAAAATGCCCAAGAACACATCAAAAAACATGATTTAAAAGTTTTAGTTTAATGAGTGAATTACACTCATCAAACACCCCCAATCTTAGTTCTTTGCTTGTCCTCAAGCAAACACAAAACTAGAGATAATTATTAACGAACAAAAAAGCACGACTAAGACAGACAAAGTCACTCAAAAGAAACTTTATGTTAGACACCTTGCATTTATAGGTCAAGATTAAAAACACAGCGTCAAATTCATGAAGTACTTCAAAACTATAATGCACGCATCAAATCCTCGCTCATTCAATGCAAACGGGTGTGTGTGTAGAGAGTTAAGCATAACGCTGTACAATAATAAATTGACCCAGTTTTCGACCTTAAAAGTCAAATATTTCCTTGCTTCGCTCGTGGGATTCACACACCCCTAAACTTGTTTTCTTTTCTCTTTCCAATGTGTATTTTAAAGTTGATTTTTTTTCAATGCTAGTTTCTTACACCGCTCAAGTTTGGTTAGATTTCACTATTGCAGTTCAACCTATCAACAGATGAGGATTCTTCTTATTTTTGACTGCTTCAATCTCTAGGAATCAACCAAGTTACTAACCTCTCTCAAAGGTTTAATCCTCTAAAACAAGTGTTCGGGGCTTAATCAAAATATGTGATATATAATTTTTTTTTTTTAATATATGTATTCTTTAAACACCCTTTGTGTGGAGCTATCTAAATCCTTGTAACAAGTTTTAGGTCGATAACTCCCAAATCAGACAACTTTAGGGCACCAGGTTTTAAACCCTTACAGGCTTAATCACTCGAGTCATAAAAGCTACAAAGAAACGATTCACAATGAGATTATTAAAGTTGTCCTCATTGGGATCTTTTTTTATGTAATGATTAGTGCAATGCCCCTTATTAAACATCTATTCTCGAAAATCGACCTCTAACTTAAAATTTTTCACCCAATTTTCATCCTTTTAGTCTAAGACAATCCACACAAAATTTAACACACATGGAATCCACATTTATCTCCAAGTTTTTCTGCAACAGCTTAACCTACCAAACAGCCTATATTTGGTTTAAGGGTATAATAATGTTTAAAGGTTGTTTGGGTTTAGCATCTAAGTTCTCTTATTCAACCTGTAAACATGGATCAACCTACTCATGTACAACGCTACAATCAACTCACATGCACAAATAATTTTCGTTTCGCACAAATAATTTTCGTTTCACACGAATAAGCAAAAATCTAACTCACACATATAACTTATCTATAATCCATGAACCAACACATGTTCTTAAAATTATACATCATCGCCGACAATACTATCTAACTCACACAAGCATGCAAAACACGAAATGAATTTATTTTTTTTATTTGACAATGCACACAAATAAAAATTAAATAAATAAATAATAAAAAAGCAAACAAATAATTTAAAAAAACACAAATCAAAAAAATTTTTTTGCCTCCTTCAAATTGTATGGTTGAATCCTTCAATCTTGCCCCCTTCCATCCTTCTTCAAAATAGGGTTTTTCAAATGGTATTTATAATATCTTGAAGTTATTGGACGAATTAGGGTTGAGTTGGGCCAAAAAAAGATTCCAAAAATATAAAATCCTATTTTTCCGCACAGGCGGCGCCACAGCACCACGTTCACTATCGTTTTCAGTATCTTGGGTGCCACGGCGCCCACTTCGAGTGAAAAATGCAGTTTTTGCCTCCTTTAGTATTTTTGTCATAACTTCTCCATCCGATATTCGATTGAGATGATTCAAGATGCGTTGGAAAGGTAACTCAAAGGGCTATAACTTTTCTTCAAACATCATTTCCCAATTCAATCGTTTGCTATGTCGGAAATAGGTCTCAATGTGAGACCAAAACTCCGGCGCGTAACTTTTCGGTTGGAAAATGATTTGTGATCATATTTTGACTAAATTTGATCCCTTTGACACCTTCCTTCATCCAATTGACTCTTAGCGCTCTCGGATCTTCATCGTGAGTTTCAACACGACTTTTGATTAATTGCATTTTAATCCTCGAACTTTGGATCTCTTACATTTTGGTCATGTCATCCAATTTCGCTAACTTTCGCCTATTTTCTTCCTTTGGCCTCTTTTAGATCTTGTTTTCTCCACTTCGATCAATATATAAAACAACACCAAAATCACTTGTTAGCACTTCTAAAATACTCTCTAAAATAGCAAAATCATGAAATTAATGGCATAATATAATGAGCGTAAATCACTCATCACATGCATTATGAAAGTCTATAACATACACATTTCAAACATGTTATAATGATTGAAAACATGTTTGTAAACAAAAGAGTACATACACTTAGAAAAGTAACATGAAGTTAAAAAAAGTGACACATAGTCAAAAAAGTGACAAAAACTATAAAAAAAAAAAAAAAAAAAAAAGTGACATATAGTGCACTGCCAATGGACAAAAAAGAATTTAATGCATTCAGATGATTGAAACCATGTTTGTAACTGAAAGAGTGCATACACTTGGAAAAGTGACATAAAATAAAAAAAGTGACAAACTAAAAAAAAAAAAAAAAGGAAAAAAAAAAATGACAAAAAAAAAAAAAAAAAAAAAAGTGACACATAGTGCAATGCCAATGGACTATAAGCTGGACAAAAAAGAATTTAATGCACTCAAATGATTGAAAACATGTTTGTAACTAAAAAAGTGCACACACTTGAAAAAGTGACCCAAAAAAAAAGTGACATATAGTGCACTATCAATGGACTATAAGCTGGACAAAAAATAATTTAATGCACTCAAATGATTGAAAACATGATTGTAACTGAAAGAGTGCATACACTTTAAAAAGTGACATAAAATAAAAAATAAAAAGTGACACAGAGTTAAAAAAAAAAGTGAAAGAGAATAAAAAAAGTGACAAAAACTTAAAAAAAAAGTGACATAAAACAGTGACAAATATACAGTGCCAATGGACTATAAGCTGGACTCTCTCCCTAAAAACATGGATTAGGTGACCGACAAAGACCAAATAGGTTATGATTATTTTCTTTGAATTTTCACCAGAAATATAGTGCTAATATATAACCATGTAACATGCTAACAATAACAAAAAAACATGTTTGTAGTTCACATCAACTAATAGAGTGCATATACTAAAAAAATGACAATAAATAAAAAAAGTGACACAAATTATAAAAAATATGACACAGAATCCAAAAAGTGACACTAACTATAAAAAAGGTGACAAAAAATCAAAAAAAATGACAAAACCATCACAAAGATGCTTCCTCATCAAAACACAGCAATGAGACTCCACAGTAACTAGCCTCTGTATTCTTTCACAACAATACAAACGTATGACAAACTTTATAGGATCATTGTATCTAACTATATACACCCGTATTTTCCATCCAAACTTTATTTATACTTTCAAAAGTCATCAATATAACTACATTTATAATTCTAGTAACATATCCTCTATTGAATATAAAGAAAAACCATTAGTAGCTAATCTGTCTTACTGTGAACAAGTAGCTAAGCAATCTTGAGCAATCAACGATTCTTTGAATATAGTGCTAAACTAGTGACACAAATTATAAAAAATGTGACATAAAGTCGAAAAAGTGACATAGAGCCCAAAAAGTGACACAAACTATAAAAAAGATGACATAAAACAAAAAAAAAGTGACAAAATCACCACAAATATGCTTCATCATCAAAACACAGCAACAAGACTCCACGGTAAATACATGAATGTCATTATGATGAGAAAGTTATATCAATATACTAACATTTATTGAAATTCCCAAAACTTAAGAACAAAGGTTGTACTCTGTGGTCATCATACAATCACATGACCCACTACATCATTAGACAATTGTATCATACACATTCCACCATAGCTTCTAGACCCACCAATCTTATGTTGTCTTCCACAATCTCCCCATGTCCACTCTAATCTCAACAATCCAATAATCCCAAAATCCTATATGAACTATTCAATATAATTCCCCATTTTCTCTTAGAAACAAAATCAAGGACCACAAAATAATGCTTCTAAATTCTATGAAACTTTGGTTCGTGCAGTGTTTTGGAATGTTGTATACATATTTCATTTTATACAAAACAAAAGGCATGGAACAAAACTAAAAAAGTCACATATGAAACATCAAAACCAGTAAAATATCAAAATGGGAAAGGAACGAAGAATAAAATGTACACATAAGAGCGGAAGCTAAAAAAATTAATGCTACCTCGGGTTTATAAGATTTCTTCTTCTTCGAAGATGGTTCTTC